ACTAATGGCTGGATTTCAAGCCGTCTATTTGCATGTATACATGAGATGTGTTTTGTGTGTTTATGCAGGTTTGCATGCCTTTTTTGCACACTGGTCCCAAAAAAAAGGTTTCTGATTATTATGGGTGGCTAAGCTGAGAGATGATGCCTGTTTGTATCCTTAAATGACCTTGTCCCTGGCAGCTGCAGCCAACATCATATCATACCCGCTTTTTTTCTTTTGTTGAATAGAACAGAACCGAAGAGAACAGAAGTCATACAACATCGTATCGCAATGTAACACGAATAATACATTTCTTGCAATATGAAATGAAAGCTGAGCACTAAGTGCTGGTGTTTTTGCCTCTGGATGCAAAAGAGTAGAATATAGGATGTGCATTGCTTTTGATGTATAGATCTACATGATAATATAGTCTGACACATTGAACAGTCCTATTAGGAAAGCACACTACAGACAAAACAAACAATATGTACACCCAGGGCTATGTTGGAATGCAGTCATACATCTATCAAATGTTTCTTTATTGTCATTTATTCCCCCCAAAATCTGTAGGTTCTCACCATGTTAATCGTCAGTAAAATCCCTCTTCAGATATGAATGCAATTCATCAAAATAAATCAATACAAAATATTATCACTTACTGGAAGTGCATGCAGTGAAACATGTAAGCAACAGAGTTGTTGGCAGTGGACTAACAATCAATAGGCCTTTATTCATGCACAGCACATTACACACAAAAACCAATTCAGATAGTGCTTTATGGAATTGACAGTATTGTCTCAAGGTCCCTTGCAATACCACAACGTGGCAAAATCCATTTTCACTCACATAACGAGCTGCCATTTTCTGGTTGGAATGAGCTCAATCGTCTCCGCATACAAAGCAGGCAGATTTAGCTGCAGAATGATAATAACAATAGCACAATAGTGATTGGTGTTACTCTACAGCTACATTGCTCATATCACACAATAATGATTAGCGCAGGGCTTCTAAAAGCTTGCCTCATTTTTAAAACATCTATGGCGTAGTTACAAACAGCACAGTGCACTGATGCTATTAACGACGTGTTGCTACAGATCCTCTGATGAAAATCCATTTCTTTTCTCCTTTAACAAGGTGAAATGAGCCAGTGTTCTCTGCAAACAATGTAGGGTAAAATTCAACATCACAATAATGAGAGCATGATGATGATTGGTGTTAGACTAGAGCGATATTACCAACACTGAATAATAATGACTTGTGATAATGCTCTGCTGATGAAGGTGTCCATGACACAGAGTTACGCAGAAAACTCAGATTATGTTGATGCAGCTGTGAAACTGACTGCACTGCTGCGTTCACTTTTTTGTAATGGACACAAGTTCATCCATTAATTAGATATTTTAAGGAACAAATGAGGGGAACGTGGCACTATGTGTTCCCAAAATACTATTCCATTATTAAAAATTCTTCTTGAGTTTTTGTTTGAGCAACTTGAACAGTATTGTTCCATTCTGTTGACAACTTGTTCGCACACATAGAGAAAAAAAAGTGTCTTCAAATCTAATTTTATCAATCACAACCGATATTAATTCACCATGTGCACACTTAGAGTAAAACAACAAAGTAAACTGAATTCACAGATGTTCAGAACAGCAGCACATTTCAAGGCAGTGAGGATTTTTCTTACTGCCTCGGGTACAATAATGTATACTGTAAGATCCCAAACTGTTAAGCTGCAAAAATGTAAAAATTTTCTTCCCATTCTGGTTGTTTAAAAACGGACACATTCAATTTCTTGTTTTGTTGTTGTTGTTTTTTTTGTGTTTTTTTTGTTTTTTTGCTAAAGCTACTTCCGCTGAGTGCTGATCTTTTGTTCCTGCAAAAAAATGGAGGGGAGGTTAATTATCACACCGTCTCGGAACTGTGTGATCTCTCACTGCACATTTATAAAGATGTGGAGAAATGGGGCACAGAAGATGAAGGCAGTTTTTGGCCTTTTGATATTTAGCCATTACGATGTTATAAAATATCTCCCTCACAGTATTTTCCCTCATACTTTCACTCATGTATCATCACACCCACATAATTACTAGATGGAAAGGAGCACATTCTTTTAGAAAATCTTATGTTGCTAGACTACAAACCACAAATTTTCATTTTCAGTAATGCCCTGCTTCACACTCTCACAGGGGAACTGCTCTGTACAACCACTCAGCACCACCACAGGCCCTGAGCCGCTCCACTGGGACAGGCCAGGGTTAAGTAGCTTGCTCAAGGGCTTCTCATTGGTAGTTACTGATGGAGGCAAGAACACGCCATGTTCATTTTCCTGCCTAGATAACACCTCAGGTGATCTGGGGATGCAATTGAAACATAAAGGCAGTGGCTTTATTACAAATATCCTTAAACTCATTTGTGTACAATTCAATTCTAAGCTATCTTTGTGCCCTGACCCAGACTTTAAAGAAAAGTATCAGTTAGCTCACTTGCTGCATGCATGTGCTGCTCCAGTCGCTTAAGACATAAAAACATAAGGCTTAAATACTGTGTGTGACATACTGCTGAACATATTCATTTGGTGACATTTGTGGTGACCATTACCAGCAACTGGTTATCTAAAGTTGAGATATATCTGTCTATGTTTGGAGTTGGCAGGTTGGCTTTGCAGTCAAGAGACAGTCCCATAAGCAAAGGGTCATGCTGAAGTCCCACTGTGTGTCATGTAAGTTGTAACACATTAGACAGGGTACAATTTAAGACTTTTTAAGACCTTTTTAATGAAATTTAATACCAACTTTACTGCCGTATAATGATAAATCTGTATGAATATTAAGCCCGAGAAAATTATTTACAAAGTTATATGAATTTAATAAAACATTTTATTAACATTAATATTTAACACACTATAGCTTTTTGGGATGTGTTTGTACTTTGATATGAATCAAGGACGTCACTTTGTGTTGAAAAGTGGTGGGGACGTAGGGGTTCAAATTAGGGGTGTGACAATACACTTAGCTCACATGCACGATTTACAATATTGGGTTCACAAGAACAAGACAAGAAGATATTTTCTCTCAAAGTATTTTCACATTTTTTTTGTTTCAAGCCATTTTTCAGAACATATTTAACAAATGCTTCAAAAAAAGTGCTGGAAACATGAAATTACACCTATGAAATGAATCTAATATTTGTGCACTAAGAACTCTTAAGGGGTGAAATCAAAAATACTAACAAATTGTGCAGTTTGAGTTGTTACAATTAGTTACACCTTGGCTAGATAAGGAAATATAATATTATATGCCAATTGCGTCAGTGATTATTCACCCCGTTCGGTTGTTACATCTTAAGGCTGTTTGAAATATAGTGTGACATAGTATTGGCTTGAAAGCAGCGAAGATGAGGAGTTGGGCTCCAGTTTGTTTTTTTCCTCTTCCCTGGTGATCAGCACATCTGGGTGATGTAAGTTTAATATGCGTTAGCATGTGGGATGTTTCCATTCACATAACGTTACACTACAACAGCGGTGCAACGCCGACACACAGACACGGTCCTCATCCACAACTGTCTCTCCGTTGCTGTTGTAACATCCCCTGACCGGGAATCTACAGCGGGTCTTCCAGCTCCGCTGTTTCATTAGCGCTTGCCATAGTGTGAGCGCCACTGTACTCGGCCTCAACCGCCACTTGTCTGTGTCACTAGCTTTCAGAATTTCAGACACTTTCCCATTCTCAGGCGACAAGCTAGCGTTAGCTTGTTGTTTAATACTTTTTAGACCCTGCGGGTACCCTGATTACATGTCCTGTTATATGAAAATAATGGCCATGGTGAAAGCAAAGAAGGGACGCCACTCTGATATGTGTCGTGGGGGGTTCCTCCACTACGTCCGGCGTGCCCTTATGTCAGGACACCTTGGACAGCAATAAATCACTAAAAGAAGAGAGACTGACTGAGTTCATATTGTCATCCTTTCTTGAAAGTGTGTTTGTTGCCCTTGACTTTCATTGCATCACGAAAAATAGCTCATAAAAATGTAATACTGAAAATAATACCTCATGGTAACATTTAAAATTTATAGCAACACTTTTTTAGCCCAAACCAACCCCTGACAGTATGCACGTGAAAATAAAATGCAGAACTCCAGAACCCGGAATGAATTTGTCAGATTTTTCAGATTTTTACCTTAGGGCCAATCAAAAAGATCATATTTTCTGTTGTGAAGATGTGATTTAATCTGTAATAAATCAGGAAAACTTTAGAAAAAGCTAAACTCTGTCCACTATGTGCTCATACGTCAGGCTGTCGGGTTAAACTCTTAACAATCATAAACTAAACTAACTGCAAGTTGGTGCACTGTACATCCAGGAAGTGGCTTGGTGAATTTAGAACAGTACTGGCTATGTCAACACATGAATTAAATATCCATTATTCATAATTTACTCACTCCAGTCATGCATCACTACAGTGCAGTTGTCTTGATATGAGAGAAATGCAATAAATTTGGGAAGACAGCGAGGGCAATATGAACACTGTTTAAAAATCTCTGCTGGAACGCTGTCAGCCTGCTGCGGGCTTTATTGTTGCTGTAGTTATTTAATGGCTTACAAAAATATTTTAAACTTAAAATTCAGTTTCAGAGAGATCTGACAGGTTCACGTGTATTTAGAGGTTACAAAGGGTTTGTTTGTGAAGTTGGTAATGTTCAAAGTTGTATATGAGACTATTTTAAGTATTTTGTGTATTTCTCTTTCTTATTTTATTTATTCAAGTCAAACATTTCACTTTGTATTTGTTTATTTCCTGTTTTTTTTATAAAGCCACACATATCTCCACTTACTCTATGCCATGCATAATTACATGCATAACATAATGAGATACACAGTACATTAAATCACCACATATCTAATTACATGAAAATCACAATATATTTGTCTTCTTTGAACCCTTTCCTCTTCCATAAATGGTACTTCCTGCATATGATTCATCTAAAATCCCTCTCTCCCTCTCCTCTCTCTCTCCAGCAGATCTGTGTTGCCGTCTAGAGGAGAAAACCCTCAACGTGTCCGACACCAGTAATGAGCTAAAGGTTCGTTCTGCCATTTTTTCCCTGTGTGTGTGTGTGTGTGTGTGTGTGTGTGTGTAATCAAAGGCCTGTGAATTGGCATTGACACATCAGGCCCCACTAGCCTGTTTAGCATTCTGTTAATCTGACTCCCTGTCTTTCAGAGAGATAGCACCAAGAGTGATGAGTGAAAGCACTTTTTTCTGAGAGCTTTATCTCCAACTCTTTCATTCATTCTTTTTGTTTGTTTCTTTTCATTATATTATTACATCAGTTTGTGTTGTCTTTCCTTTCTTTCTTTATAAAGACATTTCCTGTTTCTCTCTCTCTCTCTCTCTCTCTCTGTAATGATCTGTGTCCTTCATTGCTAATAGAAAATTATTCTGAATTGTTTAGCTTGTATCTGCCTACAGCAGCTTGTTAAAGAGGACTTGTAAAATGCATATTTAATATGATTTCATGCCCGAAAATGTAGCTTACAATGCATTTGCCCTCTGGACACATGTACCCAAAGTCACCGTATCGCGCACCTCACATCTCCCATACTAAGCATTTTTCCATTCGCTTGAAAAAGTTGAATAGATTAAAGGCAGATCTAATCGATCCTGAGTGTGCTTATCAGTGGCTGGCAGGCTGACGAGCCGATTTCAGAACAGCACATTCTAATCCTTCAAGTGCAGGCTAGGAAGTGGAAAAAGACAAATAGGTAAAAAAGACTCACAGACAGTAGGACAGACAGGAACCACAGTGAAAAACAAATCACTGAATATTTATAAGTCTGAAAGAACTGTTGGAAGACAACAAACCAGCAGATTATTGCACAGATATGTTTAAACTCTACCAATTAGAAAAATTTGCAACAACAACTAACAACTTTACAACAACAATTAAAAAGGCCAAAACTCCAAAAAGAAGTATCAACACACTACTCATGATTCAGAGTATGCAAATACATTGCTCTTGCCAATGCATTTCTAAAGTGATTAGTATATAGTTGTGTGACTTGCACTGGCAGGAGTATTTTGACATTATTCCATGTCTGCATACCAGCTATGGGTGTTGCAGCTACTATATGAGGGCAAGTTTATATGAGGGCACCCACTTTTAAGTTAAGGCAAGGCAAGTTTATTTGTATAGCACATTTCAACAACAAGGACATTAAAAGTGCTTTATATAAAACATATCCTAAGGGGACTCTAACCCTTTAACACTTAGGGACTCTAACCCTAAGGGGACTCTAACCCATCTTTCTTAGATACAGTCGTCACTGTAAATCCAGATTGTCCATGCTAAAAATTCTGGTAAAAGCAGTCTAAACTAATCATTAAAAATGATGATGACATACATGTGAGTGTGCCAATAATGTTGGCTAGTCATTGATGACAGGTAGCCAGAAAATGTTCAGGGAATTGTTAACTTATCAAAACGATTATGGATTTATGTAGTGATTTACTTTAACAACTGTCCAGTAGAGCACAGTCCAGCCGATGCAACGAGCCAACATTGTTCGTACAGTCCATCAGCCATTAAAACGATTCAACATTTGTTAAAATCAATCCTTGGGCTTGGTAATCAATCAAGAAAACACAAGGTTAGATCAAAGAATTTGTTTCCCATTAAGATCACAATTTACCTGTTATTAAAAACCAGATGTCGGCCAACAGGTGTCATCAACATCTGATTAGATGAATGTGATGAACTTCAATTAATTACATGCTCATGGTGAAATTGGTCCGTATGCTGTTCAGTGTTTGGTGAGTTGATTATGGCTGTCCAACGAGATTTAACACATGGGCCTATTATTCTGACTTTATACTATGAATATACTCTTCCATTAATTTATCTGTATCTAAGTAAGCATGGCTTAAGGTGTAATTAATGTAACGTAGCTCTTCCACTATGCCATCACAATCAGATGTTGTCAATACACTGTCCGCATTCAGTGCAAGCAGAGCCAAATTCATAGATATTGACAGCCAATGTATCAGTTATTGGAGGCTTAAACATTGTCCTTTAAAAACTTATATCAGTCAGACATAAATGAAGACTTAAGCTCTTTGTCCATCTGGTTTTGCCTGGATTAAACTTTGTGGCTGCCTATTAAATGTGTCCTCATTGACATGTATTGATTCTGCTGCTAGCTTATTCTGATCTTTGGTTTTAAAAGGGTTTAGCTATGCTCTGTGCTGATTGGATGTTTAACCTTCTGACCTCCAAATGGGGGATCTGAGCACATATCCCATAATAGGAGGCATTCATCCTGATGACCTCTTCTGTCACTGTGACAACTCAGCGGCAGGCAAACTGACAAAGAGATTGTGTGTTAGCTTTGTAGAAAAAGAGAGCGAATAGGAACAAAAGTGCTTATCTGAACCAGTCTCAGGTCGCATCAGCTCCCTCTCACTTTCTGTCACTCACTGTGTATCTCTACCTCTCTCTCTCTCTCTCTCTCTCAGATTAGTGCCCTCTCCTTTTGGCATATTGCCGCTGAAAGAAAGAAACACACGTGTTATCCTGTGTGCATGCATGTTGCAGCCCTGGGCTATGTTTTGCAGTTATTTCAGTCTATACCAGTTTCACACACAGAGACAGTAGGAGGACATGAGGACAAGCATCCATTCGCTATCTTCGCTTGCTGTGCTTTTATGAAATGGGTTAATAAATCACGCTCTATTTCGGTTTAGATGCACTCCAGTTACAGAGTTTTGCCTAAGTCACAGGCGTGTGGCTTGGTGGAATTCATCTTGTTGAGATGCAACCTTTAGCTGGACAATCCTCAGCACACTCCAGATTCAGTGAGACAAGCATTGTCACTGCAGAATTTATGTCAAAATATAAAGAATTTCTCCAAGCTGGAAGTTAATTTCAACACAAGAAGTTCTGTTGCATCTACATCACTGCTTTGGGCTTGTTTGTATGCAGATCAGGTATACAATACATTTATTTTACTTGCATGCTTATCTTGCATGCATTAACAACAGCAAATGTAAAGCTTAGAGCAGCATGATTGCTGATTAAGTGTAGCTGCAGCGTAACGATTCCAAAATGAGATATTAAGTGAGAATTCCCCCCAAACGATGCCAAAGGTTTATACCAAACCACATTAAAAAGCCAACTCAAAAACCTTGTTTTCTACTAATGATCTGACCTACTGTGTATAAGTCAATCATGTCACATTTGCTCCTCTCAGTATTTTTTGTCCAATACACACATTTTTGTCAAATTTAGCGAGCCTCACAATCCGCTAGCTGTCCGTTCTGTGTGTGTGCTGGAAAAGAAAAACAGTGTTTGTACACACACAAACACGCAACACTATTCCAGCTATGATTTGTGTGACAGGTAACGGACATTCAGCTTACCTTTTAGTTCACAAAGGCTGTTGTGATGTTATCTATAGTAGCAGGCGAGTTGTGAGTCGCTCTCAGGAGCTGGTGGACTGGTTCTTGAAAACAGTCTCCTCCTATGTTGGCGTCGCAGAAGCAACTGCAGCGACTGTTTGCCAACACACAACCTAGCTAACGTTAGTTACATTACATGCTGTCGTTGTTCGCTCTATATCATGGTATTTGACAAGGTATTGGATTTCTCCAGAATCGCATTCCCAACCTTAAACAATAAGAAAAACATGCGTAGAGATGAGCACACAGATGCATGGATCCATCCAAGGGAAAGAAGTTATCAGGTGAAGGACTGATTATTTTGTGGATGCCTTTGTTGTCAAAATAGTTTATAGGTTATGTTTAATGCCACACTGGTAGTTAGAAATGATTTCCTGTCTGACATTTGCAAAACACAACAAATTTGGGTACAACAATTAATGTTAACACAACAAGCAGAAAATGCAAAGTGCATTAGATTCCCGTTTTAAAAGTATTAACACATAAAGTCAGTGGAGAGTGCAGTACAGTCCTGATAAGCCTTTCTCTGGAGTGTAGAGAAGGAAAATGCTGTTAAAATGTGTGAACTATCAAGCTCATATATCTTTAAAAATGTGACACTGATGGGTGTCTGGGAGGATAGATAAGGAGCAGGAATTAGAGAGGAGAAGATTCCCTTTCCAGGGATTTACACAAACACACACAGAGTGAGTTTTAATGCCCTCTACCAGTATTGATTACCCAGCAGTCTGACTGATTGAGAGTTAGATATAGAAAAGCACACATCAATAAAATACTCTGGAAAACCTGGGGAGAGTTTTAAAGACACTGCCCTTTCCCACCCATTCACACAAGCACAGGGGTGATGTAATTAAATTATACCATAAGTCAGCTGAGCTGCAACAGGGACAGTTGGAAAAACTAAACAAACAAACAACAACAACAAAAAAAAACACCCTTCTCTCTCTGACACACACAAGATTGATTATTCTGACCACCTGCTTGGTTATGACTGATCTGTTCATAACTCAATTACAGATATTGCTTGTTTTCCATACCATAGCTGCTTCCATCCCCATCCATCATCTGGCGTTGTCTTATTGGGATATCAGAGGTTGAAGTTTGTGTTTGTGTGTTATCGCTTGTGTACTTGTTGTGAGGCTGGAGAGCAATAGAAACTGGCAGTGGGTGAGATTAATCTGCTCTGGAGGCTCATTATAACCTGTTGATTGTGTGGCCACTTAAGAATGACAAAAAGGCTGATTTGCAGACGGCTTAGCTGACGGTGATGCTGGCAGATGGGTGGATGAATCATCAGAAAATGGCAATAAGGCACATACAGTATCAGGCGTCTTTGAAACATAAATCCTTTAATGGAACGTGAGGATAAAATAACTGCATTCTCCTGCTTACTCAGTCTGCCATCACTTCTCTAGGATCATTTGAGGGCAACAGAAGCGTGTCACTACAAATGCCGTCTGGATACCGACTGTGGCTTTGATGCATTCACCCTCGCCTGATGTCTTTTGTAATAATTGCAATGCAGTGTTTTAAGCTTATACTACTCTTGCACTCAGCCTTTCGCCATTCTGAGTAAAAGCATTAGCTTAATGCCTAAAACATGAGTGTGAAGTACATTACATCAGA